AGCTCCAATGACTGAGTCTTATGTGAAAAAAGACTTGGACAAGTGTACTCATGTGTTCGTCCGGTGTGACCGTGTGCGCCAGCCGCTGGACTCACCATACGAAGGACCGTTTCGCGTGCTCGCGCGCAATGCCAAGACCTGCCGGATTCTTCGCAGTGGCAGGGAGGACGTGGTCAGTGTCGATCGGATCAAGGCTGCTGTTACAGAGGAGCCGCCGGACCTGTCACAAGAGCAAAAATGTGCTGACCCCCCCTAACCCTTGTTCCTCCGTCTTCCCCATCCCCTGCTTATTCACCCTGCCCTCTGCCTCGCCATTCCCCTCCCTTGCCCTCTACCCCTCCGTCCCGCATCCAACTGCAACATCATACTCCACCACAACACGCAGTCAACCCTCTTCGACTGTACCTCCTGCGTACATAACTCGCAGTGGCCGTCAAGTTCATTTTCCTGATAGTTTATTTACGCATTTTTTCTAGACTTATGCATATCCTCTGGCGCCGTATTACGTCACCCTTCGGTGCAGTAGGGTGTAATCTGGTGAGGTGCCTGACTAATTTACCTTTGACAATTTAGTCCTGTTCTCTTTGCTTAGATTGTTTGTTTGAATGTGACGGAAATCAACACACCTGTACAACCCGCCTTGCTAGCGTGCTCCGCTGTCGCGCTCTGTTATCAGGTTTGTTAACGTGCAAAATCTGTATATTATTCACTGCTCAGTTTTACTTGCTGCATTTACGGCTAGGGGCTCGTCATATATAACTCGTTAGTTCGTGAGAACATTACCCTCTACGCCAGCCTCATCTCGACTGTGCCGATGCAAAGGTCCATCAGGCCAGCGGAGTCCGTATTACCCTGTGCGCAGATGCACACACGAATACCCGATCTAGCCCGCCTGTCGAGGCCCTTACCGGAGTGTGGCCGCTAGGCAGAGCCTAACTTCGGGGAGTCACATATGAGAGTTTGGTGCCAGCAAATGGACGCTGGGCGTAGTCTGTACCCGCAAACAAGTGAGCGACCTGCTACGAGCGTCACGTGAACCCACCGCTGGACACTCCTGACACCCCGCCCTGCCAACCGCTACCTTCAGCACCAGCGCCTCCCAGCACTAGCAATACGGACTCGGTTTCAAACTATTCTCATTCCGATGGAGCATTCAGTTCCGGCATCGGGCCGGTCGGCCACTTGGGATCCATCGCACCGAGACCGGTTAACCAGTTCCAGGAGCTCCGAAATGCACTCGTCTTAAGTCTCCGCATTGTCCACGTACATACAGTCATCGGGTGGTCTCACTCGGTCAAGTGCGTATCCACGAAATCGGATTTCACCGCAATGTCGAAGCGTCAAGCCCCCACTACGTATTCGACAGCTCTCCCCCTCCCCAGCACTATCAACATCCCCTCTATCGGTGTTGCCACCACCAGAGACATCATTACCACAAATAACACAGCAGTTACCAACCTGCCCTGCCTAAGCTGCCATTACGCATGCAAATCACCCATCAGCTTGGTTGGTCACCTGCGAATCCATCGCACAGGGACTGGTGAACTAGTGTCCGGGACAGCAGCATCCACCCGTTGCAACCGCCCAGCTGTCCACAATGCACACACATATTCAGTTGCCGCATGGGCCTGCTCGATCACCTGCGTCTCCATGAAAATTTGCGGCAAACTGCCGCAGACTAAGCCACATCACACATCACGCACACGACAGTTCGACCGTCGGTTTCGATGATGTCCACCGTATGCATCACAGCATGATGAGAGCAGAGACGGTGACTTGTGGGAAAATGTAGTTTATAGCGATAACAGACTTTCACGGCATCTACCGCACTCTCTCCTCCTTCCCCCTGGACCCGGTGCCAAGACAGAGTCAAGAAGACCGGAGGCGGGGGAGGACGCATGTGGATGGCGCGCTAGAGCCCGCACGTTGGCGTTCCACTCCACACCCCTGGTCCACACAGCAGATAACCAGGTTTTTGATTAATTACAACAATGGGGAGGGGGATGGCAGGGGTCCGGTGCACGCCCGCACTCGGGTCTGCCACTGCATCCCGAAATGTAGGCATTTGTTATGGTGCGCAACTCCGATAACGCCTGCCAGAGTCCAATATGGTCACCGTGTTGGTCCAACGCACCTACCATGTGGCCCGTTTGAGGGGTAAAAAACACACACACACAGACACGCCGAACACTCATTCGGTTTAGCTCGCCCTGCAAAGACGGTTACCTGGATGTGACCGTCGCGCTGAGTTTGGCTTTATGGACCCAGGGATGAGATTTGGGTACTGGGACAGGATGCAAGAGACGCATCCACCAAGATCCATCGGTGCGTTTGACGGGGACTGTCAGTGCGCTCCCTATAGGTGCTTCGCATCACTATGTCCTTGCCACACAAACAGTCCCGCTTGAAGTCGCATATGCTAAACTTTCGTGCGTGATAATCGCCAGGATTTTATATGCGGCAGGGAATACTCATCAGTGCAAGGCTACGCAACGTTCATCCAAACGCATTGGTGAACACGACATTCCAGTCCATGTTTAGGGTACCCCGGGCGCCCCATTCATTACGTAGGCACCTGAAAACCGACTTCTAAATATTCATCGTATTAAATGGCCGATAGAGGCTGTTTCACGCGTTGATACAGAGGAGACCGGGTGGTATCGCCGATATCAAAAGTCGGCGAGGTTTGATCCTGCAGCCCCACTCGATAGCAGTCATATGGTCAATCTACTGGGCCATTTTGAGTAGGCGTGATTACGTTAACTTCAAATACATCACTCCACGGCCGGGGTCGCGAGAGTGCATGAACACTCAACCGTCCGTTACATCAACCGTGGTTTTACATAGGCTCACATACCGGCCATTTGAGAGCGAGCAGGGGGTAAATTTTAAAGTGCGTGCAGACGAGGACATGGTTTGACCAGTGACCAGCAAATTTAGTATCTTTTTTTACCAAGATTCAAGCTTAAAGCTGTCCGTTTAGCGGTTGGTTCAGGAGTTGCCTGCCCCAACTCAGCCATTCTACACACCGATAATACTCGGTTGATAACAAAGGAGAAAAGCTTCAGTTTGTTCCTGCCGCTTTGGGTAAAATGTTTCTCAACAACACTGGTCAGCAGTTTATGTTGGCTCAAAAGTAGAAATAACAGAGACGTTAGTAAGGCGCCCATTAATTCTTTCGTACGCTATTCGGTTACGGACTGATCCCCACTCTAGCATTGCGTGGCTGGGCTGCTCCGACGGGAATGACCACAGTGATTCCTCCAGGCAAGTAGTGTACGTCGCTGTGTTAGGAGGCGGAGTTTAGGATACGCCTCGAGGTCTTGATTTGACGGCGATTATCCTGGGATTCGGATTTTAGGCGCTCATATACTGATGGAGATTGCGCGATTTCAGACTCTGGACACCAAGGTTAACAGAAGTTCGCAGAGTCAGTCTCAAGAATTCCCACGAATAAATGGAAGAAGGCGTCGGAAATAATTTAGAAGGGGAATTTCTTTGGTCAGGAATAATTAAATTTCCAGCCCAGCTCACAACGAATTTTAAATTTAAAGGCTACGGCAGTCTCAGAGAGGGTTGATTATAAGTCTAGTGTGAAAAATGCCTGATTTCGTCAAGAAACTCGATGAGTTCAGTGTTATGACTTCTAGCCAAAAAATCGACGAAATTCCATCGACGGCACGCCTGGTGACTGATAAACTATAAGGCAGTGAAATTAGTATAAGGGACTGCCAAATGCTCAACTGTAACGAATTCGAACGCTATGGTGGCGACGATGGAATTTGTATCAATAGTAGTGAAAATCCGATTCCCAGGTGGCATATCAAAAGAAGAGGGGGCGTTCACCGGGAGGGGTTTATTTGAGATCCGACGTTTCGGGTAGTTTATTCGTCTACCCATCTTCAGGGACTGGGAGGTCCTGTGCACAGCACTCCTTATTATGGCGCCCTTTGTCCAATGCGTGATCCGCCAATGCCGCCTGTGTGGCTGCATCCAACCCGCATGTCATCGTGACCTGAATCGTCCCCGTCGGCCACGGTGATGACTGACGGCCCCGATTGTCCCGCGCCGTGACTGTCCCCCGCTAAGAAGGTTCGTAAAGTCAGATAGGGGGGAGGCAAATTGAGGTAGCGGTTGACAGAGCAGTCGGTGGACATCCAGGCTTCTTGCACTTGCCTTGCTGTGTGATCGCTGCCCCGGCTCACAATCTCAACGGCGTCAAAGTTGAAGATGTGTCCCATTTGTGCGGCATGGGTTGCTACCTCCGACTTTGGGTCCAACCTTCGCACGGCCAACTCATGCTCGTGCGTTCGCGTTTGCAGCCGTCGGCCGGTTTCGCCAACGTAGTTGCAACTTCCGCAGCTGCATTGAAGTCGGTAGACAACGGCCGACATCTCCTGCTTAAGGATCGGATCTTTCGGCCGCATCACTTGCCGGCGGATTGATGAGTCAGGCCTGTGGGCAACACCTATTCCGAGTGGCGCGAGTGATCGATCCACGACTTCGGAGACCCCTTTAATGTACGGAATGCTCCGCCACGAGTTTGGTTGACTATGCCCTTCGTTCAGTTTCTTTGGCTGCCTCCGGCTTCGTTCAATAAATGCCCGCGGATAGCCATTGGCTCTGAAAAGTTCTCGGAGGAGCTTTATCTCATCCACTTTGGCGGCTGGTGTGCTGCAATGAGTTTCCACCCGTCGGTACAGCGTGCGGACACAGCTTCGTTTGTGTTGTGGCGGGTGGTTGCTGTTGTAGCTGAGAATTTGCAGCGTGTTCGTCGGTTTTCTGTAGGCCGACGTCGCTAGTTCGCCATTTGGTTGGCGGCAGACGAGAACATCGAAGAATGGAAGTTTATCCTCTACTTCCTCTTCCATCGTGAACTGTAGATCGGGCATGATTGAGTTCAGTACTTCCGCATAGTAGTTGATTTTATCCTGGTCTATGATTACGAAGGTGTCATCAACGTAGCGTGCCCAAAACTTGGGTTTGTACTCCTCGAATAGTCATCTCTCGAGTTTTTGTGGAACCGCCTCGGCAATGAGTCCGGAGATTGGTGAACCCATTGGAGTGCCCTTGATCTGCTCGTATGTGGTCCCTTCGAAGGTAAAGAATGTCTTGAGGCAGTGCTCCATGAGTTCTATGAGATCCTGAGCTGTGGGCTGGCCATCGCCCCCGTCGTAATTTTGACGTAGCAGGTCACTGAGCGTTTCGACCGCAAGGGCCTGTGGTATGGACGTGAAGAGTGAGACGGCGTCAAAAGACACCATCTTTTCATTCGGTTCGATCGTGACTGCCCTTATTTTGTCAAGGAATTGTTCTGCTGAGTGCACCGTTGTTTGTGAGCCTGCAGTTAGGAATCTTAGCTTCTGAAATAGCCAGCTTGCAAGCCCGTATGTGGGTGTGCCTCGGAGTGAGACAATAGGACGGAGGGGAACATCTGGCTTGTGTACTTTTGGGAGACCATAGAATCTCGCCATAGCGGTTTCTGCGGGCTTTGCCATATACCAGTCTTTGACGGTGATGACCTTGTCCTTTTTTAGTCGAGCCAGAATTCTGTTAACCTTTGCCACTAGGGACTTTAGACTGGCGGCGAGCTGACTTTGTAGGACTCCCGATCGTTGAGGAGCAGGAGGGCTTTGTGTCGGTAGTCCACATTGTCGAGGATGACGGTTGACCGGCCTTTGTCAGCAGGGAGAATAACTATTTCGGTGTCCGCTTTCAGCTCCCTTAGGGCCTTTTGTTCATCTCTTGGCAGGGAATGGGTTTTCCGGTGCGACATGAGAAGTGAAGAGACTTGATGTCGAAGGAGGTCCTTTACCTCGTCTGTGGCGCCGGTTTGACGAAGCACTGATTCGAAAAAAGCAATGAAGGTGACCGGGTCGGCGTCAGTTGTGTTAAAACCAGATCCACGTTGTAGAACTTTGGTTTGGGTCACAGTAAGTTGTTTTGACGAGAGGTTATGTACTATCGTTTGTTCGGTTTCCTGGTCTTTTGCGGTCTGCAGTGCCATGAATTTTATCGATAAATCCGCATCACTGTTAGCACGTTTCTTTCGTCCCTATGCTAGTAATGTGTTCTCCAATGTGGCGGCAGTCGATTCCCCACACCGGCGTGTAACAAGCATCCGGTAGTTTTCAGCACTGTGTGCGTATTTCTTAAGTCGCAGGTGACAATCTTATATGAGTACTCTTGTCATTCGCCGACTATGACGGAACATCGTTTGTTTAGCCAATTCCGTGTTGACTGGAGGCTTGTAGGACAGGCCTTTTGGCATAACATAGTTGGCAAGGCATCTGTGAAGGAAATGGAGCTGTGCATAGGTCGAGGCCTGTCGGAGGACAGTTTTTTCCCAACGACGAGCCAGTTGAAGCGCTTCGCGCCCGTAATTCACATCAATAGTAGTGAGAATCCGATTCCCAGGTGGCATATCAAAAGAAGAGGAGGCGTTCACCGGGAGGGGTTTATGTGAGATCCGACGTTTCGGGTAGTTTATTCGTCTACCCATATCCGAAAATTTTTCCGCTGTCAACAGGAAATATTGTACGCCTCGGTAAAAAATACCGAAAAAATTTACTGTTTAATCAGGGTTATATGACTCTGGACTCCCATTCGGTTCCTCATGGGCAGAGACGCACGTTGGAACTGTACGGCCATCCCCGCTTCGTCGGGGAGTTTAGATGGCCATTGTAACGAAACTATATTGAAGTGAGATAATCTACAACGAGAGATTCCTCAAATCGAAAGTCGGACAAACAGACTTAGATGGGGAATTTTCGCTGCAGTGTTTATTTCCCCACCAAAGGTGTCGTCTGACGGCTGTAATGCCTCCCGAACCGAATCATTGATCGTTTCAGGATTATGTAATTATCTTTTTTTTGGGGGGTGGGAGCCTGGAAATTTCGCAAAAATCCAGACCTTCTCCTCGAGAATGCATTGCGGGCTGACAAAACGGCAATTCTTGGGAACTTAAATGTCCGCTTTCGTCCAAGTCACACTTGTTAGGAGAGTAGGGGGGGTGTTAGGTCGCCACGGGATCGGAAGTTGCAATAGTTATGACTCCTTTACCTTGAATACTCGTACATAACACAATATTCGCCCGACCAACATCTGCCTACCAAGCCGGGGAAGACTAAGTAAAGCATTCATGTTCTTGGTCTTGACAACTGTTGAAATACGCACATGTCAGGTGACGGGATCGGTGTGACCTACTAATTACCAAGGCGATGTATAATGCAGAATGCTGCACGACCCACCCTCCTGTCATCTCGAAGGTGAGACTACAACAGGAACCCCACAGAAGTCCCCAAGGTAAGCAAGCATGGGGTAAGTTAAAACCTTATTAATAAGTATGGATAAATTCCGACTGGCTTTAGGTAACCGCATGAATCTCAAGTTAGAAGAAATGCAAATCCTCGAAGAAAATGCCACCGTCGAGACCCAGTGGAGGGTGATGAGGAATGCCAATTAAGCCACGACTAGGGAAGTTCTTGATCGCACAAACCGACAGAACCAGGAATGGTTCGACGACAACGATTGCGAAATTCAACGCTTGCTTCCCCAGTAAAACATCTATACACTGCATAACTCGACAACAGTACCAACGCCAATCAGATCGCATTCTTTCTATGCCGAAGCCCACTTTAGCAAAGGTCCACGGAAATGCAAAATGATTGCCAAAATCGTATGGCAGAATAAATCGTAGGATATCCCGACTATGGTGAGATGAATAACTTGTTCGCGACAGTCGAGTAAATCTGCGAGGTTCAAGCCAAGGAGAATATGTCCCTGTTTAGTTCAAACGGTGCAACTCCGTTGTCAAAAAGTAGCAAATCCTGGAGCGTTAGACCAAACCTTGGATGGTGTACTCAACTACTCGTCCGAAACTCGGCAAAGGAATCATCAGTTGCCTTCCTCAGGTGAGAATTAATAACGGTCTCTTTTGTCCACTTTCCCTACATGAGACAATCCAAACAGTACGAAGCTTATGCAGCGGTAAAGAACTGAGTGTCGAATTAATTCTATTCAAAACGTGTAAGTACGATGGTCCCGAATCACAGACATTTTAAGTCAATGTTCCGGAAAATATGACGAAAAGGCCCAAATATCATAAGAATTCAAAAATACAACTATTATTCATCTGTAAAGGCGCAAACTTAACCGTCAAGAGGCCAAAAACTGTGGATTCTCTCTTCTCAAAATTGCGCATAAGATATACATACTTGTCATACCTAATCGCCTGAACATGTATCTGAGGCAGGGATTCCTTCAAGAAGAACCATGGACATGATCTTAGCGGCTCACCAACTGCAAGAAATATGTCAGAATATGCGAACCAGCCTCCGTACTTTCTTTGAGGATCTGATGAGGGCCTTAGACGCAGTGAGCTGCGATGAACCGTTGAAAATCACACCATGTTTTGGATGTCCAACATGGCAGGAGGATAAAATGCACCGCGAAATATTCGGCAGTCTCTGAGGCACTCGATTGTCAGAAATAGGGTGAAGTAGCGCTGCGTCTTTGTCCTCAGTCACATCGTGTTAATAGAAGCCCACCGCGCGGAATAACCAGAAAAAACTATCAACGATCGAACCGACGGAAAACTGCTCAACATCCGTTGCATGAGACTATCTTCCTGTCAGTATCCACGACCTATTGTTCGCGAGTGGTTGTGCGCTATACGCCATCTGAATGCTTTTCGGATGCTCTTTTTCTCCTTCGCACACTGCACCATAAGGCACTGCATACCGTTCTCCAGTCCTACTGTATTGCAAATCATGTTACGTAAATATTGTCAGTAATATTTTTAAAGTGATAATTTACTCCCGATGTGTGGGTAGTTATCTTCTAACGCACTGGTATGTGAGGAGGAGGGTTTCTGGAGGCACTGCTTCTCGTCTTCAAACAGTATGCCGGAATTCAATGAACACACATTAGCAGAGGGATTAGGGATGCAAGCTGGTTCGACATTTCAGGAATTTGGAGCGGGACGGAAGCGCTCGTAAATGCGGTGCATCCAATCGCTGACGTACTCAAGGATGCCACGGTACCAAGAAAACTCCTGGTTAGTTGCGACCTCTTGCCTGCCTGTGTCCATTTGTCGTTGAAAACTCGAGCTCTCTAGCATGAGCGATGTCTGCAAGAGAAAGAAATCGCGAAGGTCTGTGACAGCTCGGGGATTTTAATAACAAGAACATTACCTATTTGGGATATGCAATTGTGGGAAATTGGTTGTGTTTGCCTGATACTGCAAATGCTGGGGAAAAGGCTTGATTGGCATGCACAGTCGATCTGCTAAATGTGGCGCTTAGACGTATGAAGAACGTATAATCAGCAGGCAGAAATTTCTATGAAGGCAGGGGTACGAAACTGAAAGTCGAGAAGTGGGGCCATATTCAAATTTCTACTGCACGTTAAAGTTGCCTCTGATCCCATTACCAAATTTACCGTTTAGGGGGGATGTGATCATTGCTTGAAATGTACATCGTCTATTCTGTAGGTTATGTGTAGGCGATTAAATTCTATCGATTGAATGAATAGGTCGTTTACTCCAATTATATACTTGTCCACTAAAATTAGTTTGAGGTAACCAGCGTGGTCGAAAAGCTGTCGGGCCACGTTTCTGAAACTCCCGGCACTTGTGTAATTGGATAAAATGCGCTAACTACAGAGTATACGAGTTAATGCCTGAAATATTATTTTTATGAAGATAGGCACTGCATGGAAATTCGTTCTTACGTCGTTGAGCAGCACAAGTTTACGCTTAACGTCGGAGACTTCACGAAGCTTCTCGTTGAGTCCTTCAAGTTGTCCAAAGATCTGGCCTTCGTCATCAGAGAAGATGTTTGCCAACTGCATATTTTCCGCCAAACTTTGTTCTCGCTTCGCCTGAAAAGTCAAGAGACCAAGCTCTTAATCGTGGGTGTCCGGTGAACACTGCTCACATTGCCACCTTTAAGGGTTCACCCGAATATTACTAATATGGTCTTGTTAATGAACAGCTGTGTCAGTAATACCTCGTCATGGTTGATGACTCGTTGCTGGGCGGCAACCTGAGGAAGGTGTAGACCGTAGGTCTGGGGCATGACAGAAAGTTTGCAAGACATGCCGTAATATAACTTGTCTGTGACGGGCCGTTTAACGTGGTTTGGCTAAGTTTACAATAACCAACTTCTTCTGTGTGCCCTATTCTTCTTGACATTTTTGCAAAGATACTCTTTGCACAGCAAAGTAGAGATTTTAGGGAGGGCTAGCTCAAACAATCAAACTGAAGTAATTGTTTCAGTCCTGCGAAAATGGGAGTTAGATATCAAAATACAGCTGTTTTACATACACAAATGCGATCCAGCACAGTCTGCCTCTTCCGGAGAACATTTTGGAAGTCCGCCCATGCTCCGCTTAGTTGTGCGGCCTTCGCTTGAGTTGTTACATTGAGAAATTCAGTCTTATTGGTTAAGGCCAAGCACTCGAACAGGATCCTCCTCTCTTCATTGCTAGAGGATTTAAGGAAGAGGGACAAGGGCGAGACACGACTTTCTTGAGGAAAATGAATGATCGATTGAAAAAGAGACAAAGTAAGGGATGATAGCCACAACTCCTTAAATTTAACTGGAACTGTCGTTGGTTCGTGAAGGAAAAGTTCTGCTTATAAGTAGTCAGAGGGAATTTAGCTAATCTACAGTAAGAGGTGAATTGGGAAAAATAAATCAGATCCCAAATGAATCCTCCCAAATGGGTGTAAAATTCTCAGCTTTGTCAATTCCAGTGTTTGTGGAACCCGTATACAAGGCGATCTGCACGGTGATATCATGTGATTATTTATGTTTAAGTTTCAACGAGTTCAAACAGAAATTTCTCAACAAGGATAATGTACTTAGCTATTTGGTTGACAGCGGTCAAGCAGCTCGCCCGTATGTTTTAGTAGTAGTCAGAACAATAATTCCATCATAGCAACATTGACTCATGGAACATTTCGATCCCAAAAACAGCTGTTCCATGTAGTGCTCTTCTTAGAAGTGCGTGGACATTCCTTTGTGTTCTCAGCGAATGATATTGTTATAGTATACTGTTTCCGAAAGTGGAAACGAACGATCATTTGACAGCGAATGTTCTTAAGTGCATTTATATCTACCGAGTCAGAAGTAAACTGCTTCCAAAGTTATGCATGTTGGATTTTTGATAACCAAGTGCTAACGTCTGTGGATATCGGAGTAGTGTCTTGTTTTTTGATGATCTGAGCGCCTCGAGAGCTCCTTTCAATGAAAAAAGCCCAAAAGAGCGTTTTATGTTTCCAGAATTTGAGAATGCTAAAATTACGGAATAAGTATGGGCAAAGACGGTTCTGGGGCCTCCGTTTTAACCGTAGTAACCTATGATTGGTGCTACTGCTCCCAGTTGTCTGAATTCCGCGCCAGTAGTGCTGTGCAGGTTGGTGGGAACAATGGTGACCCGCGTCCGACCTCACGCAGTGGGCAGAAATTTCTTTGATTGTGCGCCTGCTTGGCTTAAGTTGAATTTTTTAAAATTGGTCTTAGGATTAGAACTCACAAAACGCCTTCTGAATTCTCGAAGTAGATACGCCCTGTCAACAGTACCGTCCGCATATTACGCGCAGCACCATTCAACTTACCGCAATGTTGCATTTTTCCCCTCTGTTGTCCAATACACCTTTACAGCTCCCTGGGCTTCCTGCGCCAGCTGTGCAATGTGTGCCGCTAAGGTGTCCTTGTCTGACTGCAGAGTTTTCAAGGAATTCAGGAGAGTGGCCGCATCCTGCTTCGCTGATTCCACCTGATAGTTTAGGTCCACAGCCTTTTGAAGCAGGAGTTTATGTTCTGCTGTCCAGTCCTTTTGAATCTGCCGTGAAAAGATGTTTTTTTCTTCAAATAAAGGGCAACACAGGAGTTACGTACTTGAAGTATACTTCGGACATACTAAATCCGGACAAACACGACGAGGAAGTTAACCATAAAGGTCATATCCATTTTCAAAAACCGAGCAGAAAAATCCCGCGAAAACTATCTGTTCTTTGATAGCCACTGAACTTGAATGCTTGCGATCGGGTGCAATGCAATTGCGGCAGGAGGAGGTTTACTAATCACAAGGACACCTGTCTGAAATTTTATTCGCTTCAAGACTGCGAACCACAGGTTGAACATAGTGCACATAAGGTTACTTAGACCTTGAATAATCGACCTGACTGGGTAGCAGTTAGTTTCTCACAGAAGAATATGAGGAATAGGGGAAATTCCACGGCCTGAAAACTTCTGCCGCCAGACGGGGTCCAACTTGTCAAATTTTTGCTGGGTGCTATATCGCTGAACTGTGGTAGGCTCATCCTCAGCTACACTGATTGCCTACATTCACCAATCTTTGACTCACGAGGCGGACGTACTCTAGTCAAAGCTGTATTTCTTGCTGAGTTAGAAGGCATATTCGAGTAACGGGTTTTTGACCCCGCTCGTTTGAATTCCAATATTTCCTGAAATCGTGTCAAAATTACGTACCGCCACATATTCCACAACTGACGCATCTCGAGTCATCAATTTAGGTAGCTGCAACTGTCCAGCTGCCAGTTCGATGGTATTGAACGAAAGCGTTTGTAAAAACAGAGGTTTGAGTTGAATAGTCTCTTTTCAATTTGGTTCAATAATTTCTGATTAACTCATCAATCGTGGTATTTGGACTCGCTGAAAACACACTTGACTCTAACGTCGTTTAAGGTATATAATTCATCGTAGGCTTAAATGTGCTACGAATTAATTGCGTCTCAACTACCCGTTTGCTACCGCTGTCAATCGATGGCTAGTTTTTAAACGAAATTAAGCCAAAGTATCATAATGGTACTGTTTTCCCACAGAGTGCATTGCAAGTGTGGTCTCCATCATCCTAGTCTTCCGATGCAAGAAACTGAAGTCGTGACCGTTTCGAAAACAAGCAGCATTAGCAGCTGGAAAATTTCATTGCCGATCCAGTAGTTATGGCGTAGCGTGTGCGGACCTATCAGCTTCTGCACGGTCTTTCGGTGTTTTCCCTACTGAGTACGTGTTAGAGACGGCTGCCATTTACTCAGGTGTGCCGAAGTAATGACGAACGGCCGGCCAGAATGCTCTGAAACACAATGGATCCGAACGCCCACAAGGTCAATGTCTGTCAAGAAACCCAGTTCAAATGCAAGGCTGACAGCTAGGAATGTTCGTTTGCGGTTTGAAAATTCCAACCAGCTTATCATGTGCAAACCGTCATCATATTATTTCACGTATTCATGCACTGATCCATAATTTTATACATTTGGCACATAGAAGCTCAGAACTAACTGTCCTTTGCTTGCTTAACCAAGGATACCGTGGCCTTGAGCCCGTCCGTAAGGCGGCTATTTCAAGACCTGAAAATGCCTGACGCGAGTAAATGGTTCATCAAAGGGCGCCAGGACCTGGCCGATTGGTAGCCTGAATCAGGACGGCAAACTACGTCTTTACGTACAGGGCTACAGAATTTTCAGATAGGATCTTAAAGTAATCCATTCAATAGATATTTTGCAGTCTTAGAAGAGTCGCAATAAGCACTCGAGTCTCAGAGTATGATAACAAAAAGGCAACTACTTAATCCCTAAGAGGGGGGAGGGTTAGAGTTGAAATGCGTTTTGTTACATGCCTCGCCAGAGTATTCGAGAAGAAGTTACAACACCGCCAACGAGTGATTCTAGCACTTCTTCAGGGTCTTTACTAGAGTCATTCTAAGTACTTTCAGGGACCGGTGGAGGCTTTCGCTGCATTCTTCTCACAACCTTCATGTTTGAATTACAATAAAAAGTGCGAGAGACTGAGTAGGGGCTTGAGCACAGTAAGCGGCCCGTAATAAAGGTCACGTCTACGCGTATAACACAAGCACGAGGCCCCAGGTCCAGACCAAGCAAATCAGAATAACTTTGGTCCCTCATCATTGAGAGTAGGCATGCAGGCGGCATTACAAAAGGGCCATTGCAACTTGGCCGTTAGTCCTAAGGAGGATCGAGTCAGCCTGTCAGTTCACAACTTTCCAAGACATGACTGTTAGTGTGTCACGATGACATAAAAGTGCGTCGGATCCATTGTACCGAGAAACGTGAGTGCTGAACCGGTCTTGCTATCCTTTCCTCTCTCTCTCTCTCGTACACACGAGAGTTTGACCGTCGATTTCGACGACGTACATCGTCTACTTCCAAACAGAATGAGAGCAGGGACGGTGACTTGCACCTAAATAGGTTCACAGTGATAGTGTACTAGCGCAGCGTCTACCGCATTCTCTCCTCCCCCCCTCACCTGGGCCTGGTGTCATAACCAAGTTAAGAAGATCAGAGGCGAGAGAGGCGGCGGGTGGCTGGTATGGCGAAGACCTGCATCTAGGCGTGCCATTATATCCCCTGGCCGATGACTGATACTGAGCAGGATTTTATACCACAAGCCAAATAGAGAAGCGGCACGGAGCCCAGTTGAACACGAAACTAGACGTATCACTAGCACCACACACACCGTGCTAATAACAAGGCAGAGTCGACCCGACCGAGGATAATATCTGATGCAGTAACTGCTATAGCGTAAATGCTCCGTCAGTGCGTGTCACTAACCGGTTAAGTCCCTGTCTAGGCCTGAAATAACAACGCAGCCCCTTTTGTTGGCTTTACATCCATGCTCAAGGATACTGTCACATGACCCCAATCCCAGTGGATTTGTGTGCTTAACTAGATCCGAGAAGGACACGAGGTGCCCATATAACATTCAAACGAAGACGCAGATACCACTGCAGGGCCAAAGCAAGACACGATGTGTGGTCTTTGTACAAAAAATTGAGTACAGTCGTAAATCAAATGGTAGTTATAGCGTCCGTAATCTATTGGTTTAAGTTCTCTTGCGGAGGAGATGATTTGAGCTTACTGTCGGCTTGATGCGATATCATACTAATCATAGATATATATATATATATATATAATGTTACGAAGCGCTCACCGATCGTTCATACGGAATTCACTCGTTCCTTTGTGCCTTAAGGGCTCTCTCTCGAGACCAACCAGCAGCCGCACAGCGGCGCATGATATATAGGCAGAATGATCTTACCGACAAAGACAAGGGAGACTGGAATGGCCATTTCTGGTTTATTAGCGGTCGTCAGCCAGTCATACCCTAACCCGAAGCGTGGAACACCCGAGCCTCGAACTTGCGACTGGCGCACCAGTGCCAAGAGTGCCTCGGGTGTTCCACGCTTCGGGTTAGGGTATGGCTGGCTGACGACGGCTAATAAACCAGAAATGGCCATTCCAGTCTCCCTTGTCTTTGTCGGTAATATCATTCTGCCTATATATATATATATATACGAGGTTTGGAAAGAATATATATTGAGACACCAAACTCCTGGGGACTGCCCACGTATTTTGGACAGTCCGGTGTGTATCAACATACCATGGTTGCAAATACCATCGAGGAGGATACGCATGGTTGCGGTAGCATATGAGTCATAGTAGCGTAGCAGAGAAAAATCAGAAGTCAGACCACAGCACAAAAAATGACATAGTCAAAAATTCTGAACATTTATCTTAACTACCTTTTCAATGTCTTTCTTGAGATCACCATTTTTGCTCGCAAGTTCATCCACCTCGGCTTGTGCAGAAAGGAGCAAACCTTCTGAGACACTGGCGTCCTTCTCAATCGCATCTAACTGTGTCTGCAACTTGGAATATTTTAGTTTGGCCAGCTGTCGGTTATTTCGAAGGTTTTCGATGTACTTCTGAGTTTGAGCCCTGATTTGTACAATCAGTCGACTTTCCTTGATCCATTTAGGAAAGGAGCGAGAGTCAGTGAGATAGTAAACAGTGGTGGAAACTTTGCGGGCAATTCCTACTTCAGATATCTGACATAATTAGAATTTTCAAACCAGTAAAATATTTTATAAAACCAACGTGCAGGAATTATAGAAAGGTACAATTTACAAATTTAGACGTGGTAATGAATACCACCTTCCCCGAGGTATTACAATTAGCTTTGCGCTAAATCCCAGGAGTGTGTTCCCCTGTCATAACTTTAGCCCAAACCCTAAACCGCACCCTAAATCGAATCCCAACCCTCCGAACTCTGAGCCCAACAATAAATCTCCAAACCTTACCCCATAATCTTAACGCTAATGTCGACTCTAACCTTCCTGGAGTTTGGTGCAATAAGGGAACGCGTACTGATTCCCGTGCCCTACCGAACAGACGTTCGGATCTGACTCGCATCAGGGCCTAGAAAGATAAAACATGGAACCTGATAAAGTGCGCTATTGTCCTAAAAGCACTGCTCATGAGTACATGGGTTGTTGTATGAATTGGCAAACTAAAGTGTTTTCAAGTGGGCAGATTAACATGGATCATTATGCAAAAATGCGAAAAACGTGGTTTAATGATGGGTTTTGACTGAGCATTTTTCCACACACACACACACACACACACTCAGAAAACCCGGCAAACAATTATTGTAAATTGTTAACGGTGTCCTCTAGGCTTGTAAAAATTCAATCCTACTCCCTAGGAGTGAAGTAACAAACAGCATTTCGTATATCCATTTTACGAGAAACTGCATTTTCAAATTTCATATCTAGTGAGAGCGTCTGTTCTAATGGCTCAGGTCGCTTGTTTTGGTGTATTCCAAAAGACAAGGTAGTTTTGAAATTTTTCGGTCTCCAAATCAACATCCCTACCTTTTTAGAGTTATATATTTTCACATTCTCCACGATTCGTCCTCCTGGTGTACATAAAACGATGCAGAGGACAGGAGTTGACTGCATAGACGAAACTTATCATTGCCTGAAAATACGGCGAGTCGCACTTGCCTTTTGGTTTTGGAAAGGGAATGTCTGGTTCGGCGAATCGTTATTTTCTGATAATTTGCAGCGACAAATAGTTGCTACAGTTACATTTTTAGGCTGTATACTTTGTAAGCGGTGTCCGTTATCCCAGGAATAGTAGACCGCGCGAAAAGCCCGCGAGTATCCGGACAGACGTCACTTTTAAAGTTAATTGAAGTCAAACCTCTCCCTTCCCTCAAACAGAAACTCTAAGTACAACCTTCCACAACCTCAAACACCCTATTTAGAGTTAGCTGTTTAATTTCCTACCCCGATTCCTCGAAAACAAGCGAGTACGAACGAATGAGTTGAGTTCTATAGTCATAAGCTATAGTTATAAAATAAGGACATTAAAAGAACTGCATGGGGTTCGAAAACAAACCGAGCGTGGCCGGGGCATTCTGTTGTACCACTACATGTCTGGCAACAGCAGGGATCTGAGCATTTTAGCTTCTAGAATATTATCTTTGATATTCAATAAATCTTCACATTCTTCAGAATATGGTTGGTTTTCCCCCTGCTAATAATACATTAACTTACGAGTTTTTGCGTCAATAGGCCTGTCGGAAACAGCTTCTACGCCATACGTCAGTATCAGCAATATTGTATCCTTAAAAGGGATACCACGTTTTAGTCTCATTAGATGAACCAACGTCTAATTTTTATGATGAGACGATTCGGTAAGTTCATTCAAAACGGAGCCTCATCTAACATTTTCGACGAGTTGGTGAAAAATGCCAGGAAGTGAACTGTTATGTTTCGACTGTTAGTAGGTTCACAAGATACCTAGTGATGCATTCTTTCGCACACAATAATGAATCTACACTGCAAAGGCAAGAATAACTGTGCAAAGAAAACTGTAGGGAGTGCGATTTCCCAAGTGGTAGTGCAAATCATCAGTTTACCGGAGCTGACTTAAATCTTACTGACGATGCAACCGAGAAGGAAAGTTTCAGAAAGCAGCTGGAAAAAAAGAAATTTCGATCGAAATTTCATCGATCGAATTTCAGTTAACTGGGTTTTTTAGGTTTTTTAAAACCTTTGAAAACCTGAAAATTTCTTGCTAAGCTGGTGGTGAGAGCGCACCTCTAATAGCCCAAGGACATTTATTTAGATGCTCGAAAACAGCTCTGTGAGAAGATCCAGCCCAAGAATGGTTTTCAGAAAAGTACCCATGGGTTGCTTGCTTTGCATAATCAACAGGACGACGCTCTAGATTAATGAACTCGAAAGTTGCCTAGGAAAGTCATGTGAGCTTGTAAAGAGCAACGGAGTTGTCAGCGCAAACTTTTAAGCAGTACCAACATCCAGTCTACCGTTGCAAGAAGGTGAATTCTTGCTGGTGAACGGATCAGAATCCGACAAACAGATGCGGGTACTGCAGTTTGGATTGTTTTCTTATCAGATGTGACTTGACTGGACTTACTACAACATAGCCTCCAGGGAGACAGGGGTGTCAGACCCGACAAAGTTAAGCATGCAGGTAGAACGACGTACAGAAAATACTCGGCCTCGTGGGTATTGTAGTGTCATGCAGACAGAGAAGACATTTCATAGGGTCACCGGGAGTGATTAAAAAACAAATTTTTTCCGAGCTACTGGGTTACTGAAACAAACGTCTTTCGTCAGTAGTCCTTCCACGAGCAGAATTCACAAATAAACTAAGAAACTTGCATAGATGGAAAATGCTTGCCGGCTATCAGACGTACCACCTTCATGATTCGAAGTAGAGGCATGAAAACACCGAATAATGTTCTAGCTCCTATCAGCGTTTGTCCCCACTCGATGCAAATTTAATCAGCGAACGAGCTACGGGACTTCAGAGATCGTCTGACCCATACCTTGATTTGTATGGGAAATGAGACAGTAATGTGGGGACATTCAAGCTAAGTGATATTTAAGCCAGGAGGCTGGCATGAAATAAATAGCTAATTCACTAAGCAAAAAGTTCTTTTATGGCACTTTCTATTTGTGCTTTGTGCCTGACAAAATAACTTTGCTACTCTGGTGGTGCTGATCAGTAGGTCATTTAAGTTCACGTTCATTGTGCAGTTAGGGTGACGGTTCTGCAACCTGAGTCCTCGCTGTCAGCATATAGGAATGCGTCTTCGAAACTGCAGCTTTTGAGCAGAATGAAAGAGTGAACTGTATTAACTTTGTCAGTTTACCTCATCGCAAGTCATCCGTATTTTCGTCAATTCAGACTTGGCTTGCTTTTCCTCCTGTGAGAGGCGCTCTCTTGTATCCGTCAGTCGGTCGAATGCCTTCTTGCGACGTTGGGTAGCATTCTGCAGGCGTTCTACGGCTTTGGCAACTTCGGTCACAAGTCCCTCTTTTACAACAGCGAGTCGCTCAATCATCTCAGTTTTGCACCTGATCTCTTCCAGGCTGGAAACAGGCAGCAAATGTTACAGGAGAGGCAAAATTCGGTACCATAAAATACTTAACACTTAAAAAGTAAGAAAATTAAGGGGAAACTGAACAAAGTTAGTTATCACCGTAAAAAATTTTTAAAAGAATAAGGGCCAACCACGGAACCCGTCAAACACGAATATAACGCAGAGTTAAGAGCTTAAATATTGAGTACATCAATTAGATGGCCCAGTAACTAGGAGCATATGCTTCCTGGGCGATGGTTAGGGTCGTTTTAGTTTTCTAAATGGCATAGTTGTTCTTTTTAAGTTGTCAAGGACAGAGGCATTCTAAATATTTCTCTGCCTAATTATTCATGCTCGTTTATTTGTTTCACTTTTCGTTCGCGCGCGTGTTCAGTTTTTTTACAACTATTTTCCAACGTCTTAACACAATTACCTAAGCTCGTTTGTCGTCCCGTTTGGTAGCGTTGTCTAAAACCGTAATCGAGAAACGCCTTTTCTCCAATGTTCACTTTTTCAGTTGACTACTCATAAACCGCAAAGCCGACTTAGAGTTCAGCTCTACAAATAGCCTTCTAATATCGAACAAGGGTATAGAAGACCAATGAACATTAAGGACATAGGAATACTTAATGGTGATTGAGTTAGTTGGTAAAGATTGGTAAATCTCGAAATCAGGATTAAATTCGTGAAAGTTATCCACGTTAATGACATGAGATTGATATTATTTATTTTGCTTGTCAGCCATGCTTAGGGTAAAGATGAGGGGTCTGACAGAATGGCCAATGAACGTGACTACTCTTGCTTCCATGGCGTAGGTATGGAAGCAAAAGTTTTTTGCTTTTGGAAAGATGACTAACTCATAGCGCGGCCTGTGCCGTCTTACTTCGTTGCCTTATTGGCAAACATCCTGGTAACAGTGAATTACGTTTCTGGTGGTTTTTTCCGAGGAACTCGTTGTCTCTTCGTTTATCGGTCCAAACAGTTGGGAAAGTATGCTAGTGGTCGGACCAAAAGGTGAGCACAGTCAATTATCAGACAGCGACCTAATCTACAATGCCCAGATTCGAATATCATCGAGTTTAATGAGTCGTAATAGACCCCCGATTTGAGTATCTGCGTAAATTTACTTATATGGAGCTTTATGATTTATCTTCGTTCGCCGGGACATTTTATTGCGCGTATCTAGATTTTGTTCTTGTGTTTGGTATCGACATATGAGTTAGACTGGGTCTACACACATTTGGGTAAACAAACCGATATATGCAACCCACACGGCACACATCGGCCATGCGTAATCTTTAACACTTTGTCATTAAAAGTAGACATTCCTGATATATTGGGTACGGTAATTAGGTATTTTTTTGACTACACTTCCTTTTACGTGATCCCTCGTACGTGGATTAACTGTTGGGAAAACCCCTTGTCTCTGCTTTACTAAAGTAATCAGTTGCACTGGACAGTAGACGCAAAGACACATATTCGATTAAGAGTCTAATAAATCTTCAGTTATAAGACTTATTTTGTCGCTCCCAAAGACGGAATGGCGTTGCAAGCAATACGGAAACATACATTTACAACTCAAAGAGGATGAACTAGAGAGTTGTGAAAGCATCAAAGTTAATTCTTCCTAAATGTTGCTAATTATCTGGGGCGGCGTTAAAATAGCTGTTTTCCAAAACCTTATTCAATTTTTTTCACCTATCAGAAAGTCCCCAGAGTTAATTGTAGTTTCTTCAAGATTGCCTATATGTTAAACGCCTAAAGTTTGGTCATTTCCACTAACTCACCTTTTCGCCCGTTTATCAGTAGCATTTATCAATCGGTCATTCAAGCTCTGAAGAAAGGCTGACTTGTCGCTCAGTTCTTGCAGCTGTGCACGTAGACGCGCAGAGGCGACATCTGTCTCCTGTTTCATCAGACCCCCATTCTCGGGCTCTAGTTGAGGCCGGATCACATTCATAGCCTCCGCCAATCGGCATGCCTCAGATCGGTTTAGCCGTAGCTGCGTACGAAGTTTGTTTGCGTTTTCCGTGGCTTCATTTAGTAAGGCGCTGTGTTCGGAGGCTCGCGTTTGCAAGGACTCATAACGTTTGGTTAGACTGACCAATTCTTGTTGACTTGCACTAGTCTGCCTCAGCAAGTAGACACCGTGGGCTTTGGCCTCCTGTACATCGCGCCTAAAATTGTTGAAAAATGAGATTGTTGAAGAAAATAAAGCAAGCGCTGGATGAATGGGCATGATAGGCCAAAGACACCTTCTTCGGACTGAAACCTTCGGAATTTTTGTGTGTATTTCCTCAAAGGCCGAGTTTATGCTGAATTGGGGGAGTGTCACTGGAAGAGTACATGAGGAGCATATGACAGTTTGTCCGTCTATTCTGATAATGCCCACCGTACCCTCCATAGCCGAGTGGGCGCAGGGGCAGTGCGAATTAGTTCATAGTGATGGTGGACTTGCGTCGCATCTACCACGCTCTCTCCTCATCATCTACCTGGGTCCCTTGTCACAACAGAGACCGGGGCGGGAGAGGAGGCAGGTGGTGGATGCGGCCTGAGCCCTCATCTAGGCGTGGCACCACACACCCTAGTCCGCACACTAAGGACCAGAGCTCCATGAAACAAAAAGGGGTGGGTGGCTCGAATCCCAACCGAGTGGGAGTGCCATGAAGGCCACATTAATAAAAAGTCATGGACCGGACACTCCACGAAAACACACTGGGCTGACCGCGAGGTCTGAGATTAGAAGCACATACACCTGCTTTAACGGAATTCGTGTTAAGTTGTTGGTCGAATACAGAGTGTCATTTGGAGCAAGCTGTTCAGTACCAAATGAACTGACAGCACAAAAGGAACCTTTCAGTAATAGAATTCTTTTACTAACAACCCTCTTAATAAAACTGCCGTCAGCAATAGCAAAACGATATTGGAGATGGGTTAAATGCGAGGTCAGCCTTCCCCTAGGGGTAAGTAATACTGACAAGAATAGTTTCCTGCCAGTGAATTATGTAGACGCCTAGAGGACATGAAAGCCAGATTAGATGGAAAGGCTGTCTAGTCTGGAAAGTGATAATCATGACACAGGAAATGTCAGAGCTCGGTTTACTCCAGGAATACCAAAACAGCACCTTTTAGCATGAATTGAGTAAAATCTGATAAATAAGGGGATAAAAATAGTTCGAAAACCAAGAGGTTCCGACTATTGTCGTAGGTATATGGTGGTATTATTTCATAGTATCTAAACATGCGCCACCTGCCAGTTCTTCTAGATGCTTGATATCCATGACTAATTGCGCAGATTAAGGTACAGTCATAAATATTACTCCAGTGTTCCTGTAAAGATACGGGCATATTGACATAAGAAACCAGGAAACTGACAGTCGTTAAGTTGAAATATGCCGATAGACCAGCCAATAAATGCCTAAAAGTAACCTAGTACTGTCCAGTCAGCCTGCGGTGTCTGTCTTCGGGGCTATCAAAAGGTAGGAAAAATTAACCAAGTATATATATATTAGCAAACTCGAACCTCAAGAGAGCAGCATTTTCTTTCTCCATGCTTTCTTCTGCCTGCATTTTATTTCTTTCGGTCGTTGCAACCTCATGAAATCTCCGTAATCGCTCTTCCAATATTTCACATTCCAGTTCGAAATGTCTTGACTGCTTCTCGTTCTTTTGTGGTTAAGTAAGCAAAAGACAGCGTGTTGGTCAACGCCATTGCAAAAATGAGCAAAATAGTAAACTGCGACAAAAGGCTCAGCTTCCGGTTGCTGAACTGAAGTAGTTGACTGCACAGTGAAAATAAGAGTCACATAATACCCTTGAGTTGGTCGTTTCACCAAATACTATGTTCTCAGCCTATCGCAGAAAAAGAGGAAGCACTTTAATAAGACTGTTTGAACAGAACTCTTCCGTTGTGCAGTATTATTTGCTCTACGATCGTAGGCAACATCGCTAAGAACCTCTGGGTTTCACTCAACATCCCAGCAGATGCATTTGCACTTTGGCTGAAGGCGATTGGTGCGACTACTACTCGAGACTATCTTAATGAATTCCTAACTACGAGGTCAATCTAACAGCACTGAACTGACGGAAGCATGAGTAATAAAAATGTGATAACTTACGACCGTGATCTGTGCATCGATTTCTGTAATGCATTTTTCCTCCATTTGATTTTTTTCGACGAGAAAATCACTAAAATACGAATAAGTTTACTTGCACTTCCAACTATCCTTGAGCAGAAGAAAATAAATAAGTGCAACCAACTGGTCCCATTAAACACTTTACTTTCCTTAAGCTAAACCCCAAGGAAAATTCGTGTACGAAATTTCTGGACTTAGGTGGCTGTCCTTCCTAAATTCTAACGTCACCCTGATAAGCACGATGCTTTTCGGTCTAAGTGATTTATGTTGCCTGTTGGGGTATAAGACGCGAAGGCATCTTCTGCACAAAATGGCTGGTGGGTCAGATGGGTGTTTAAAAACACGTTGATCACGAAAGTGATAAAAAAGACAAATGTGTGTCCAGCCTTGGTGGCATTTGAGTCTGCGGAAATTCGCGCGGTTAAAATGCACTATCTGCAAAACGGAAACTGGAGTTCATATAACAGAGGAAAACGCGAGAAAAGCTAGGACGTCCACTGATGGGCCGAACCCCTCGTAGCTGCACCGTGCACCGGCACAGAACTGGCGTAACACGCGTATCTGTCTCTTAGCTTATACGTGTACTGTCATTCTGGTAAACCACTCCGCGTCTACAAATAAGGCGTTTATTTCAAGTTTTGAACCGCGACCTCAGGCAGGGGCGTGGGAGACTGCCGTAAAAACTGTTTCGTGAACCATAGATATTACTGAGACATACTCAACGCAGGTGATGAGTTATCGGTGGAAAGGGTAGTAAAACCACACCACACGATACTTTTCGATGTATTTGGTTATGGTAACTGTCTTTCAGGAGTCCTGACTAAACAGGGCAGGAGACGATGGCCCTGGCGATGAGTGTCACGTTCTTCATTTCCTGGCAGTCGCTGGACAGCCCCTAGGGTGACTGTCTGAGTGAATGAGGGCGGAGCTAGGGATAAACATCTTAACTGACGGTTACTTCGCTTTTAGCTCTCCAAAGGAGTAGTTACCGATGCAAACACCGACGGAATGCCCTCTCAATGCCTGTTTTGTTGTTGCCGCCCGCGTCTCAGTCCCTCCTGGCTCGTTTATGACGGTTAGTCTGGTTACTATGCAGCCGAAAATGGTAGCAAGAATAAAATCGATTCCTGTAATGGCTGAGTGGGGAAAGTGCCTACTCGATACTGGTCGTAAATCTGGATGTGTATTTGTTCTCTCAGTTCAAATCATCGACACATTAGAAAGCCAAGGTTACAATAACCTCTGCCTGACGTGGTCGAACAGCCAAACTGTCAAACACTTTCAAAATGCCATTTAGTCAGACGGCTGACGCAGTCCCCACCAAATGACTTAACAATATTCCCTATTCATAGTGATCTACATAGAGGAACGAATTAATGTTTTTTGGTTGATACGTCATAAAACACTTCACTTGTACTGTTATTTGCGACCTAAGGCTGAATCTCCGGTCCTGGCGTTCTCGCTCATGCGCGTTTGCCGATGGCACGGTCGTGATAGGTGCTGGAGACATCGTGACATCCTGTCCCTTATCATGTCTTCTTTAGGCTCGATGGCTGTCTCGACCCTGGGAGTGACGTCAGTCAGAAAAGGCAACGAAGACATGTATTGACGTCTGACACTTAAACCTATGTATGCTACTGGCGCTCTATCCCGAGTTTCTCCAGCACTGAACTCGTAATACGTTTGAACATGTTGTCGGAGGTTTATAGGCACCCACTAGTTGCAGAAAAGCGTCGGCGACATTGGCCTTTTTTAAATTTGTCCATCAGGCCACCTGCAGTATTTGCTAACTCGCCGATCAAATATTCACAGTTGACCGCGTTTAGAGGCTAACGGACGACCTCCCTAGGAAATCATAATTTTTGATAAAGCCTTATCCTACATTTACCATTGTCATGAAGCTCCAGTTTCCCCATCGACAAACATCATGGCTGTTCTTTCCATCCTCCGACGGAGAGTGAAGGTCCAACGGAAAACCATCAAAGTAAAAGCTAGTATCCCGTTTTTAACCAATGTTATCGGAGTACAAAAGCCAATATTTCGAGCGGCAGTTTTCAAACACTAATACCCCCGTTTCGAGAATGGCAAAATCAGTAATGGCTTTCAACGTTGACGCGGTCTCAGGACTGCAGAGATTCCGGAGAATAGATTCACCTGTCTTGCTGGGTAACTGGAATCATAATTATGCATCCGGAGTTAAACAGCCTTCTTGTTGGGTCCCGTAAATAGGAAAATGGCAGACTTATGAGGAGAATGCTCCGAGGACCACAGCAGCTGTTTCAATGACTAGCAGTGGATTAAGAAAGAAGATCCAATTTACGGTTCAGAAAATTCCGTTGAGTCTTACTCAACTATTATTATGAAGTTAGGAGAAATCACTCAACAGTATACGCCTAATAAAACCTGTATTAGAACCTGGCACCTTAATAAGACTTATGTGCGACCCTTTTCAGTGAGGAGGCCTCCCTGGTCAGTGGGCGAAAAGACAGTTATAGAATAAAATGTGTGAATGTCCTATCGACGCACTTAAACGCCACTGGTGCCTTTGTATTCATATTTTTTGTGAGCACAAATAAGATCAACTCTCTCCGACGCTTTAAAATGACTATCAGTTCAATAGTGTAAACGCACCGGCGAATAGCAGAGACCTGAAATAAACATCTTTCTAATCCACAAGGCTAAGTGCCTGTTGGACAGAGTAGACCAACACTTGACGCGATTAGGGATTGAGAGTCCGAATTCGAGTTTTCAAACACAAATGCTGCATAATTTTGGGACATAAATCACCACAAAGACCTCCACATACTTTATTATGCAGTATTCTTGCATTCACTCCTTTCCAGCTCTATCTGTGGAGTAACTTTCAGTTGGGGTGACTGACAATCGATTTGATTAGCCGTTTATTTTGGTTAGGACCAAAAACCGTTCATATGCATATTCCGAATCTACTCATCTCAACAAAAACAGAATTTCACTTAAATAGAAAAAGACTGAGATGATCAGCGTTTTGGTCGGAGAAAGTGACGGGCCGCCGGGTACAAGCCCAGCAAAGTGGTCCATACAAGCGATGTTTGTCCCCTCGTTCATGCTAATCGGTCTGTCATGTAGTGCAAATTTGTAAACAGACCAAACGAGATTGAAGCGTATAGAAACGAGCGCAATAGAACGAGAGCAGCAGTTTTAACGCTAATAGATAATTTGGTCTCCGCCGGCTGAGTTTTGTCGAATGTCGACCGGTCGTCGCGGTGTTGCGCTATTGGCTCCAATATAACCAGGGGCTAACGTAAAATCTGACAATGGTATGTACTGTCACCTTATGCTTAGAGAAAAAGCTGTAAAATTCTAGTCAACACCAGCTGATGAATTAGATCGGCATATCAGCGGTTGCATTTGATGTTTTTACCAAAAGCATTTAAGTACAGCTGATTTTGATGGTTATTTTTCGATATTTAATGATTTTGATGTATAATGAACCGGCCATGTAAATTTGCGAATTCCCCAGTCTTGGTCGATTAATCTTCCGTTTGATGACATAGGCAGAAGAAACAAAACCCTCCGAGATTAAAGTAGCATATTGTGAGTTAGGGCGTCTAAAGTAAAGAACCGGCAAGATGAAGAACAAACTAGTTAGTTTAAGGATAAAAAGCCAAAATGAATGGCTCTGGTGTTCGCAGCAATACCTGCAGTTTGATTTATTAAAAGTGCACTAAATTGTCTTTGCTAAACTTTTCTGTTTGCAGTAAGATACTGATGTAAATGACAGTGGCTTAGAGAAAAAACCTCACGATAAGCAAAGCATTAATTTTAATGTTGCTATCATAAGTCGAAACAAAAATGACGAAGCATTGTAATCGTTCATCTTTGCTGGGCCACGACAAACATACTTTTCGTTAAAAACGCACGATGAAAGCCACTAAGACTTCATTACTCTGGCAAATATGTGCACTGAATTTGGAGGATATTTAGTCACCGCATCAATTAGCTGAATTACGAACCGCCACCTTTCTAGACCGGTCGTGCGAATTTAAATTTATCGAGTTCTGTCCTCTTTGTTCTGGTTGCAATAAAAATGGGCTAAAATATTCGCAAGGCAAAAGAATATTTATACAAGCGAAAAGTAATTGGACCGTTTATATATTAACAAACAAGGTCCTATTAATTCTTACATGTCGGCGGTAACTTTTTCGAACTCATTTTGTAGTCTCATATTTTCGTCCCTCAACTTTATTATTTCGGTTTGTGCCTCGTCGTTTTTTTGCCGAACCAGGGTTTGGCATTCCTTAATGGTACTTAGACGTTTGTCGCACGCTTTATGCTCTAAAATTTAAATCGGTTTGCATAGAAAAGTTTATGTTAGTCCAATATGGGTAAAAAATCATACTGATAACGGAGTTGAGTCAAGCTGGAAAAATCCCTCCTTATAATGAATTTGCACTTTTAATTCGTTGACTAAGTATTTCAAATCAAACCATTTAATATAAACGTTAGGGACAGGTTAATGAATAATCACAATGGATTATAGAACTGGACGACAACCAAATGGGATTTTCCCTTTTAGCTAAATTTCAATGCTACATCATGAATGCTGATCACTTACCCGTTGTTTGACTCCTTTTCACAAATTTTAGAACTCTGCCAGGATATTTTCAATACAAGAGATATAGCCCCGTCATGAAGACTTCATTGTTGATACCATGGCTGCTCGTAACTTACCACCAGCTTTAGAGATCTCTCAGATAATTGTAGCCACCACTTTGAGCGTTCACGCTGGTGTAAGATGCGTAGCTCATTCTTGGTATAAACCTAGTTACATATAGCCCAACTACTGTATTTCGAAAAACCAGTTATCCAAACAACTGCTACAAGGCTGATTTTTCACCAGTATCAGACCAGCATGCCAAAAGGTGACGGATAGATAACGATAAAACAACAGAGATTAAAAACTGCTAAATTTTAGACAAATGTTTTTTCTTACTAGCCGCGCTCTTTGGTGTATATTTTCATTTCATCTGTGACGTAAATAGCTG